GAATAGAAAAATGAAATTTCGTATTTTCTGATGGATATAAACAGACCGAAGTCGTTCCGTATATATTTATTTAAATAATATTTTATTCATATTTTTTGTTATTTATTATTTATTTTTTCAGAAATAATATTCGAACCGCTTTCGGTCTAAATATTACTGGCGCTTTTATACTGTGGATTCCCGCCATTAATATACGACCGATACCGGTCCGAATATGTTGATTAGTATATTTGGTGTCACCTGATATATTTGGACCGATTTCGGTCTGTATATTTTCATTAAAAATAATAATTCATTCTTAATTTTTGTTATTTTTTTGTTATTTATTATTTATTTTTTCAGAAATAATATTCGGATCGTTTTCGGTCTGAATATTATTGACGCTTTTATAATGTGGATTCGCGCCAGTAATATACGGATCGATAACGGTCCGAATATGTTGATTAGTATATTTTATGTCACCTGAATATATTTGGACTGATTTTGGTCCGTATATTTTCATTAAAAATAATAATTCATTCTTAATTTTTGTTATTTTTTTGTTATTTATTATTTATTTTTTCAGAAATAATATTCAGACCGTTTTTTGTCTGAATATTATTAGCGCTTTTATACTGTTGATTCGCGCCAGTAATATACGAACCGATACCTGTTCGAATATGTTGATTAATATATTTTGTCACTTGAATATATTCGGACTGATATTGGTCCGTATACGTCATTTTTCTAGTAATGGTATATGTCAGTCCTTTTTTTAAAAATAAATTAAATTTTAATATTAAACAATATAATTTTATTTAATTTAAATTTAATTTAAATTTAAAAATATATTTTATTAAATATTGATATTTAAATTTAAAAATTAATTATATTAAAATATATAATTGATTTTTAAATTTAGATATCAATGTTAAATAAGATGAAATTTTAATTTCTAAATATAAATTAAAATTTTAATATTTTTGAGAATTAAAATTAATATACACTCATCTTTAAAAAATGACTCTTCTTTTTACTCATTTTATCTACATGCCTACTGCTCTCGAACATAAAATCTCTTAAACCGCTTATATGGTTTTCACTTTTTCTCATAAATTATGAATACTGATTTTAAACATTATACACAGTAGGTTAAAATAACAATCTAAGATTTGTACCAAATTCATCTTTCAACTTCAAAACATATTAAAATATCTTTAAACTTTAAATTATAAGACTTTTTAGTCCTTCTGTTACATTTTCGTCAAATGACGTTAGCTGACGTTAAAAAAGGTTGAGGTGACATCATTTTTGATTCTCTTTATATTATCTTTTAATATAATTTTAACATATTATTTAAATAATTAATTTATTTTATTTATT